AAAGGATCAAGTCTCTAGGCCCAGCTAACAATTTACAGGACCTATAGGGGACAGAAGAGCATGTTAAGTGACACAGCAGGGATGCAATGAACATAGTGCAGAATGCTGGGCACACAACAGGAAAGACAACTTGGCTTTTGTCAACAAATAACTGAGAAGGAATGAAATAGGGAGGGAAAATCTCCAGATTCAAAGAGACTTAAGAGACATAGCAACCAAATGCATTGTGTAGATCTTGTGTGGATCTTGATTCAAGCAAACCAACACTTAAAAAATTTTCAGGCAGTTAGGCAAATTTGAACAGTGAGATTTTGGTTATGGAATTATTGTTGATATTTTAGGTGTGATAATGGTAATATGATAGTGATTTTGTAAAAATCTTTTATTTTAGAGGTACATACTTAGCATATTTATGGATGAAAGTATATGATGTCTAGAATTTGCATCAAAATTAACCTATTCTTGGGGTGGGATTGGGAGTGTAATAGGATAGAATTATGGATGAAACAGTAGTAGCCACATTGTGATAATAATTGAAGTTACCTTATAGTCCATGGAGGTTCATATTCCCTCTTCTTTTACATTTGCTTGAAATTTTGTAATAATAAAAAAATTTTAAGTACATATTACTGAGCCCACTGGAGACCTTCTGAATCAGAATCCCTGTATCCCCTGAATACACAAAGGACTCACCAGTGTGTATTGTGAACAAGTTCTCCTGCTGATTCTGCTGCACACCAACATTTGAGTGTCCAGTGACTTCGAAGGCAAGAAACCAAACTGCTATCCTTTAAAACTCGACATCTATCTATTTGCATTTTCTGACTATAAAAGACAGTTGTGGGCAGAAATCAATTTAACCTTCAGGTGCTTCTTGAGTGAGCTGGGCGAGTCCCTTCCTTCCATAGCAACCTCAGACACCCCTCTTGTAGAGTACTTATCCAACTGTTTCATAGTTCTTGACTTTCTCCTTCACTGAACCAAGACTTAAGATAAACAGAGTCATATCAGACTATTTATCCCCACAACTCGCAGAGGTGCATAGAAGGTGCTCAGGCAGTGTTTATTATTATTATTCAATTATTATTGAAATAATTAATTAGCAAATGAATCATTAACAAACATAAGGTTGGGCGCATGTCTTTACTATAACGTAAGATCCATGAAGGCAGGATTATTGTTTATCTTAGTTTCTTTGTTAATTGTGAGCTCTCCCAATAGAATGTAAACTCCAGGAGGTGGAGGGGAGAGAGGACCCATGTCTATCCTGTTCACCTCTGAACCTCTACCTAGAGCAAAGCCTGGCACATGACTGGTTGTTCAGTACTGGAAGAAAGAAAAAGAAAGACAGAGACGGAGAGGAAGAGGGAGGGAGGGTGTCTGCAACACCCCTCCACCCCTTTGCCTGCTGTGTTCGGCTCCTGGCTTAGTCATTGGCTTCCACTTCCTCGAGGGGCCTGCCTCAACACCACCAGCCTCCCAGGCTCAGTTTCCGGCCTCCCCTCTTGGTCCCCATCGCACCCACACTCTCCCTACTGCAGGCTTTGCTATATTTGCTTTAGATTTTGAGCTCTGTAGAATAAAAACTGCATTGTTCGTGACTGTGTCCAAGGGGAAGAGAGCCACGGTGAACCCCAATTGTCCTCCTCTGAAAAGTGGGGACAACAACAATATTTATATGTTAGTTGTACTGTGTGGATTAAATGAGATAATGCATGGAAATGCCTACCACAGTGGAAGCACAGTCTGTACATAAAGAGTAAATGGTAGCTATTCCTATTATGATGTTACTGAATCTGAACAAGGATTTTATTGAGGTTTGAAATACATTCAGAAAAATGCACAAAATTGTAAGTGTACACAGCTCAGTGAATTTCCACCAGTGAACACACCCTTGTTACCAGCCCCTAGGATAGCACTGTTTTGAAACTCAAGTGTTACCACCTCAGAGAGGTCCTCCCTGGTCCCACCTGCTCCATAGCACTCATCACTGGACAACCTATATAATCTAATTATCTATTTTACCTATTGGCTTTTCCCTTCGTTCCAGCGTAAGTTCCAGGAAGGCAGGGTTTTTTTTTTTAAAGCCTACTTTCTTCACTGCTGTATCCCCAGCTCCTAGACTGACTAGTGGTGGGCACATAATAGGTGCGCAATAAAAATCTGCCAAGGAATGAATGAATACGTGCTGGTTTGCATTTCTTTCAGCCCCCGGGTGCTGCAGCACTGTCAGTGGGGAGAGCTAGTGCCATTCCAGGTTAGATAGCACCGGGCAGGAGCCCCCGTGCACCAGCCCTGCCCGACCCACCTGCGACTTCTTTCTCTTCACTTTCCTTGCCAGCCCGGCCCACCCCACCTCACCCCATCTCCATTTTTCGTGTATAATTAAAATAATAACAGACCACCTTGCCCCCCCAGCATCCCTCAAGAATTGTCCCGGGGACCCCCAACACTCGGGGTGGTGGCAGCTCCCCGCTGCCACCAGCATGTACCTGATCAAGCTCCCAGGCCAGTCTTCTACCCCAGGGTTGGGCCTGCAGGTGGCCGAAGGAGACTTTTATCATTCGCCCCATTTCGCTCAGGGAGAAATCGAGGATGGGTGAGGTGTACCTGGCCGCTCAGATCTTCGGACTCCGAACCCCGGTGTCTTCACCGCCACGCACACCACGACGACGTGCGGCGATCGCCACCGCCACCTTCGGTCGCCACAGGTTTTCATCGGTTCTCTGGTCGTCAACCGTCGCAGCTGGAAAGAATGCCTGGCTCTGTTCTGGGTCCTGTGAACAAAGTTCCCGCAGAAACAAACGGGTAATGAACGGGGCAGCGGACGGAATCAGAGGGGACCCGCACAGAGTGCTCAGGCACAGCCACTCCAAGGAGGCGACCCTGAGCTGAGACCAGGGGGGTGGGAAGGAGCGGGCCACGCGGCGACGTGCTGGGAGGGGTGGATGGTAAAGAGCAAATGTTCGACTCCTGCCCCATCCACTGCCTCATTGACTCTAACCCCCTAACTTTGAGAGCGGACATCTTTGCCCCATTTTACAGACGAGGAAGTCGAGGCCCAGAAAGGTTAAGGAATTTATGGAGTCGGAATTCGAACCCAGTGCTCTGAAATATGCCAAACCCGGGCTCTGTCCAGCCCGCATTCCGGGCCGCCGCCTCCCTCCTCCCGCACCGTGACCTTAACTCGGCACGTGCTGGCCCCTTGTGCCTCCCCCCACATTGTCCCACTTAGCCCTTCCTGGAGGGCAGACTGGGGGGCTTTGCGAGGGACAGCGGGAAGGCGCACCCAGCTTGGGGTCCTGGGTTAGAGACCCCCCTCGCCAGGCGTTAGGGACCCCGCCCGCGCGCCCCGCCCCTTCCGCGGCCGGGCCGGCGCTGCCTCTGTCCATGGTCAAAGCACCCGGGGTAATCCGCCTTTCTCTTCCGCCTGCCGAGCCCCATTCATATTCTAATCACAGCGCTGCCGGCCCGCGAACGGCCACTTTATCGGGGCCCTAAGAGACGCAGCCTGCCCCCCCACTTCCACTTCCAGACCCCCAGCTCCTCGCCCCCCCCCTCTTTCTGCACTTTAAACTCAGCCGAGGAGGGGGTCCCTGGGAAAACCGCGTCCCCACTTGGACGCCGGGCTTCTCACAAACTTCGCGGCTGGCTGGGGGGCGGGGGAGAGGGCGGGAGGAGGGAGGGAGGGAGGGTCTGGGACACAGACAGACTGACAGAGTTACGGGAAGAGGCGGGGAGGGGGGTGTCAGAGAGACCAAGGGGGATAGAGACAGAGGGGCAGAGTCCTAGGGAGAGACAAAGAGACGTGGGGGCAGGGGCTGGACAGAAAGACAGGCAGCCAAAACAGGAGAAATAGAGGGACACAGAGGACGAGAGAAGGACAGAACGAGAGACAGAGACTGGGAGACAGGCAGAGAGCGAGAGCGAGGCAGGGAAAGGGGAGAGACTCGGTGAAGGAGATGGATAAACCCAGGGGAAGACAGAAAGTTCTGGAGGAGACAAGTCAGCCCCTCACGCCCTCCCCGCCAGGCGGCCTCTTCACCGGCCAGGTTGGGGGCTGGGGTCTTAGGGCTGCAGTTCTCCTCCCCACCTTTCACCCTCAGCTTCCTCCACTCCTCCACGCGTGTCCGCGGATCCGCGTGGAAGGGAGTCGAAGCATACGTCCTCCCGCATTCCCAGGGCCCCCACTCAAAATCTGACCCGGGACCAAACCGGGAGGGGGGCACAAGAGGAGAAGGAAAGGAGTGGGGTCCACTCGTGGCCGCGTAGGCGACTCCCCAGGCTCCCCGGAGTCCCCTGCCGCCCCCCACCGCTCCGCCTGGCCCGGTCGGGGGAGGGGTGGGGAGGGGGGAGGGGGCCACATCTAAGCCAATTTTGATTTCGCCTATAATGAGTGCCGGGCGAAGGCTGGAGAAGGCCTCTGGAACTTTAAATAAGAAAAACGTTGCTAATGCTATAATAGAAGGGGGAAGTCGGAGGGCTGGGATTGCGTCGCTCTGAGCCCCCCTTTTCGGAGGCGGCTTTTCTTATTCAAAACAGGCCCACAATGGGCTTCACAGTGCGCCTCGCCACGGCCCCATCTGACGAGCGGCCATTCATCAGGCCGGCTGGCCTATCAATGACATTGCTCCCATCGGGGCTCCTATAAAATGATGCTTTTTCCCATGAAACATCCGCAAACATTTTGACGGGTTTGGCTTTGCCCGGCTGGATTACTGAGTGTCCCCTCGCTCGCTCGCTCTTTCTCTCTCCCCCTTCTCTGCCCTCTCTCCCTTCTCTTTCTCTCCTCTTTCTTCTTTCTCTTTTCTTTCTTCTTTCTCTTTTCTTTTCCTCCTCTATCCTTTTGCCCTTGCACTCTCTACGTCTCTTTTTCTCTCCGACTCCCTTCCTCCCTGGGCATCTCTAGCACAGGGGATCCCCAAACATCAGGACTTTTGGGGGGCGCCTGTGCTGTCCATGGGAAGAGCATGCATTGTGGGTTACTGGAGGAACCCGACATGGATTCCACAGGTCAGTCCTACTGGTGGGGGGTGGGGGGAAGACATTGGGAGGGAAAGAAAAGGGAGAAGGGGAACTTCAGAAAGAGTTTCAAAAAGTTCAGAAGGGTCAACTTGACAGTGGAACCCTAGGAAATAACGGAGAGCGTGCACAAGTTTTCAGTCCGTCGCAATGTGCGATGTAAATGGATGCGTGGAAGTGTGTGTGTGTAAGGGTGTGATTGTGTGTGTAAATGTGTGAGTGTGTGTGTGTGTGTGTGTGTGTGTGCGCGCGCGCGCTCACGAGCGCGCTTTTGCTTGTCCTGAACACAAAGTTACGTAAAGATTCTCTGGCTCGCGGCGAGCTCGAGGTGCCGCTCGCAGAAACTTTGCGAGCCGACCGCCCCCTCCCGGGCCCGGCTCCTCCCCCGGGTTTGGGGGCCCCGGAATAGCGGTGCGCACTGAGGCTGGTGGCTCGGGCCAGGAAGCCGAGCGGAACTCCCCAGAGGCGGGGGAGGGCGAGGGCTTCGCACAGCGCCTGGGAGGTGGGGACGGAGGCTCCGACTGGTGGAGACGCGCAGCTGGAGGGAGTGACGGCGGCGAACACGGTGGTCCTGGGGAATCCGCGCCGGGTCGGAGGTGGGAGCCCCGGGCCGTCCGAGGCGGGGTGTAACCTCCCTGCCCGGAAGGGGCACCCCACGACGCGCTCCGCTGCGGGGCTGTGACTCTGCTAGAGGGAGGGCTGGACGCAGTGCGGCCGGCGAGGCCTGGCGTCAGGGTCTGCAAAACTGCTCGGCACTTTGGGGGCTGTGGGCGTCAGGTTTTGGGGTCGCGGCGGTCGGTAACAACTGAGGAAGGAAGCCAAGGAATCTCCTACAACGAAAAAGCCCGGCGTCTTGGTTCTCCAGCAGAACTTTCTCCACCTTTCACTTCTACTACCTTGGAGGAGCCGCCAAACTTCTAGATCTGAGCTATGCTCCCTACGCTCCTTCCAGGTGGAAGAAGCTCCCTGGAAGTGCCCCCCCCTTCCCCAGCCACAGTCCCCAACCAGTCCACTCCCACCGCCACTCAGACGCAGCCTCGGGGAGTCTTGGGGAGATAGGGTCGGGGAGAGGCAGGAGCAGGGCGGTGAGCGCAGCCGGGGCCGAGGCCGCAGCTTGACGAGATGCTGGGGATGCTGGGGATGATGTCTAGGAGCAGACCCGAGCAACAAGTGCCTTCCAGCCTCGGCCATCCCTTCACACACTCGGGTCCCTTCCCCGAGCAAAGAAACAAACACCACCAGAATGTTTCTTCGCCTCCCCCCGAAGCAGGCTGGAAATAGATGTGGGGTGGGGGTAGAGGTCATCCGGGCATCGCCCCAGATGGTCTTTCTTCGGTCCGCGCAGGGATTTCGAGCCCCTTCAGGCTTCTGCCGAGGCCCTGGTGGCCAGGACAACCACCCCCTCGGGCCAGGGGAATCTTCGGTTTTCCTGGGTGGTTGCCTATCTCTGATCCCAAGAGCCAAGTCCCTCTCCCATTGAGTGGGTGTGGGCCCCCTCAGAGTGGGGAAAGGCCGAGCCCTGCAGTCTTCCTTACTGTACAAAGTAACCGAGGCAAGGAGAGGGTCGCCTGCAGCGCGCGCCCGGCGGCGGGTACGCGTTGGGCCCTGCTGGGGTGCTCTCTGCTGGCGGTATAGAAAGCTCCACAGAAGGAAAAAAGCCCCTCCCTCCATATTTTTATGTCAAGCGCTTGCACCACTACATACCTCCTGAGCACCCCAAATTTGGAAGCAAATATCCTTGAACAAAATTAAACCCATGTCTACATTGTTTGAAGCCAAGTATTCACAAGGGGCCCACGAAAGAACTTGGGGTTTCCCCACACCCCACACCAGCCAAGCCCCAGTTAGGGGTTTTAACTGCCCTCTCCACTTGACTGGACCTCCTTGTGCGTTCTGGGGGAGGGTTATGGGGTGTGGAAACGTACTGTTTTCTGTCCTCAATGTAGCTGGTGGTCGTGGAGGCACCTGGTCACTTTTATCCCAACTGCAAACACCCCAAACGGGTTCTGAAACAGAAATCTTTTCCACATCCACTCCGCTCCCTTTTCCGAAAATCTGAGACATCCTCAGATCGCCATCCTGAAATAAAAATAGAAGTTTGGGGCAATGGCAGCGTGAAGAAATGACACGGGGCGCACCAGGTGACATTTCATAGTGTCAAAACCGACGACTAGGGAAGTGCGGCTCCGCGCGGTCCGGTCCAGGAGCCTCCCCTCACCTCCCAACCCGAGAACTTAATCCAATTAGCTTTTCTTCAGAGTTTCCCTTGTTATGTAAAGGTCCTTTCTCCCGGCTCGGGGAGACAAGCGCTCCAAGGAGCAGTTCGATTCTGCTCCTGTTACAGCAGATTGCGTGCGGCCAGAACCACGAGTATTATGATCACTATTTCATCCTGAAAGGGCTCCCAACAACCGGTTCCCGGCAAGTGCTGGGGCGAAGTCGGGAGCGTCCGGGGATCAGACCGGCCGGGGAGCCAGGCCTCCGTCCCCTACTCTTATAAAAGGAAAATCCCCGCCAAGTGCCTCGGGCCCGGGAGACCCGTTTTGCAGGGCCGGGGCTCTAGTGGTCTGCCTCGGGGCCACTTCAGCGTGACCTGAGGAAACGCGCCCCTTTGTTCCGCGCACCGAGTCGGTAATATATTCCTCCAGTTTTCCCCAAATACTCAAGTGTGGGGCTAAGACAATGGCGCCGTCGGGGGAGGCCGAGGAGGCCGGGGAGCCGGCGCGCTCGCGGCGGAGCCCGACAAAGCGGAGCCCCTCTCCCAGGGGACTGGCCGCGCAGCGGAGCTCGGGCGGACGGCGAAGGCCGCAGGCGCGCGCGGGGGGCGGGCTCCCCTGCGTCGGGGGGAGCGGTCGGAGCCCTGGGAGAGACGGGGGCGCCCAGGGAGAGGCTTCCCAGAGCCGCGCGGAGGCCGAGGAGGCCGGGGGCAGGCCGTGGGGGTGGCTTGGTCACGGAGACGGGGAACCGAGGCCGGGAAGGTTTGCTGGGTGGGAGAAGAAGGAAGAACAGGCCGGAAGCAGTGAAGCCGGCCCGCCCTGCTCTCGTTTCTGTGCCGCTTCCCTGCCTCTCGTCAGACCCGAAGCCCTGAGCCGCGGCCCCAGCTTCTCCCGCCCGCCGCCGGCCTCCTGACAGGCTGTCTGGTTCGGAGCCACCAGGGGCCGCTGCGGAAGTGGAGCCCTCCGTCCTGCTCGGCTGAACCGGGGAGTTGTTTCACTCCTCGTAACTTTGTACTTAGGAACGCATCAGTCGCACCAGTCGTGAGAATGTAACGGCTGAGTCTGGCGCTCTCGGGGATGGCATGTGGACTGAGGCCGTCCCACGGCTGGGGCTTTGCCTCGTAAGGGCAAAAGCAGAGCGTGAGCTGGTCTGGGGAGGCTTCAGGGGCTGTGGCTGAAGACGTGACCCCTGGGGAAGTTTTAAAAGAGAACTACACACCTTCTCCCCTCCCGCAAATGTATGTGATGACCAGCGAATCAAACAAACAGAAGGTTCGTCCATTAGCTCCAATCGCAACCACTATTCAGGGAGTGCTTCTGTGCATCCATTATTTCACTTACTCCTCAAGACAACCCTGCGAGAAGGGGGCTGTTGTCATACCCACTTTGCAGAGGAGGAAACTGAGACCCAGAACTTTGCACGCGAGTTGCAGATCTAGTAGGTGGCAGAGCAGGGCCCGTGCCCCCGGCCTGCCCGCCATGCTGCATCCCAGGTGTGCGTGGGTCCCTCCCGTGGGCAGCTCACACAAACTCAGCACCGGGAGGGACGCACAGGGGGATAGGACACCACCTCACTCCTGAGTAATTTAAAATCCCCCTCGGCACCAGTGTTAAAAGGCCAGTTCAGGGTATTTTCTGCTGCATATAAAGTCTGAGCTGCAATTAAATGCTCCAAAGAACTCAGAAAAGTAGGAAGCTGTCTTTCAGAATATTAGGAACAGTCAGGGTAGAAAGTAGAGCCTCGTGAAATAAGACTCGACCTTGACACAAAATTAACGAGTCCTTCATATTTTTAAGAGTGCTACATGCAGAACTTTAATACATTCCCTAGAACAAATTAAAAACGTGTCTTCTAAGCTGTTCTACAAGACCGTAACTGACAATAATCTAAGAAATGAGCTTTTATAAAGTGCTAGGAAATTTATAATTTCTGGCATATAAAATTTTTAATCGAGAAATGCTATTCTTTTCAAACATTACCCACAAATTGGGTTTTACCAGGGACCACCTTGAAGTCACAAATGGCAGTCAGATAGGTCTTTGGGACCACACTCGTTCTCCTTTGTTCTAATCTTGTATTTTATTTTGCTTATTTCAACAACCCTTGCATGGTATGTAATTTGGATCAGGCTTTGTTCGCCGCACCGGACACCCCTCCGAGGGTGCAGATGAGGCCACCGAGGCAAGGGAGCCTGGGCAGAGCGGGCTTTATGAAGCTGTCGTGCTTGAGTCATCATTCAGCATCTCAGGGAACTTGAGCGTTCAGCTGCGGTAGCTCGTGCCCCCGTGTTTGCGGCCGGGGTGCGCGGGCCGGTGAACCACGCATCACAGCCGCTGTAGCTCGTGTGGCCAGCCGAGCGACTGTTCCGGAAGCCTCCACCTCAGACGTGGGCGGATAAGGCAACGTTCACCTGCTCGGCCACCACGGGGTCGGAGGCAGTAATGCGCAGATGTCGGCGGGGGAGGGGGTGGGGAACACGTGTTGTGGGGGGACAGTGGGAAGAAGGAAGGAAGGTGGTGAGGGGTGCTCCTTGGGAAGCCACGGGAGCGAACACAGTTCCACTTGCGGAAATCTGTCCCCGTGGTTTTGTGAGATAAAGCGACGGACAGGGAGGAGAGTGAGGACAGTCCTCACAATGAGTCCTTCCCGAGTGTTGAAAAGCTTCCAGACCTCTCCCTGCCCACCCTGCCCTGGTTGAGGCTCAGCCAGGCTGGTCTCAGATGCCTCCTCTGATGACTCTCGGGTCTCCACCTCAGGCCCAGCCGGCTTGCCTGCACTCACCCCTGCACGAACACGGGCAGCTCGGTCCCCGGTCCCTGGTCCCCGGCCCGGGGCCTGCTCAGCCCTCTGTCCTCCCATCTCCTCGGTGGCGGCTTCATTCTTTCAGCAGCTCAGACCAAACACCGGACACAGGCTTGACCCCTTTCTTTACCGGCCACAAGCCAGTTCCGTCGACCCTCCTGCGAGGGAGGACTCTGACTGCCCCCGCCCCACGCCCTTGTAGCCGCCACCCGGTCGGGCCACGTGACCAGATCGCGGGTCTCTAGCCAGTGATCCTCCCGCTGGCCGGGCCCCACCGTCCCTTCTCCACAGCAGGCGGTGCTCCCGCTGAAGCGCCAGGGGACGTCCTGTCACTGCCTTGGTCTCTGCCTCCTTCGGAGGGAAGGCCGGGTACAGCCAGGCCCTCGCTCCGCTCATTCACTGCCCCGGCGGCGGCATGGGCCTCCCGGCTGGTGCTCAGGGCGCACACCTGCTGCAGGGCCTTTGCACCAGCTTCTCTCTCTTCCCCGGGGCGGGGGGGAGGCCCATCCCCCGAGAGCTGCAGGATTCAGTCCTTCAGGTCGTCACTGAAATGTCATCCTCACAGTGACACCTCCCCTGACCTCGTTACCGTCTCGCTCCCCAGCGATCCCCGTGCCCCTTCCCTTCTTTACCTCTCTCCAGAGCACTTACCCCCTTCTTATGTACTGTACTAATTTGACTGACTTGTCTTCCTGCTGTCCGCCTTCCCTCACTAGAATGTGAGCTCACACGGGACGTTTCGTGTATCCCCTGAAGTTTAGGGACTCCGCAAATACTCGTGAAATGAGTGGACTGTCTCGCCGTGGGTTACAGTGTTTGACCTATTCTGTCAAGGAAAAGGACTCATCTCTGGGCAAACGGGCTTGTGGGATTTAGTCAGACTTTTGGAAGGCATTTGACAGATGCTACAACCAAAAAGGACCTCTGTGGATCGCTGTGTTACTATTTTAGAAACAGGAGTTGGAACAGGAAGGTCTTTCTCTGCTTAGAAAAACTCTAGTAGTAGAAATAGACACCAGGAGTGTACGGCATTTAAAACCAGCGTTCTAGAGGAGGAGTCAGGTAGGACAGTTCTTAGCCTGCAGGCTTCTAAACTCTCATGGCAAGATTTCAGACCGACAGTAGACCAACCAGGCCCGCTGGGGCGGGTGGGCAGACTGTGTCTGGGGTTTCTGATGGCCACTTCTTCCCGCTGCAGGCCCTGCGAAACGGAGTGCCAGCTTCCTCCAAGCCCAGCTCCCCCGCCCTCATTGAGACCAAGGAGCCCAATGGGAGCATCCACACCAGCGGCTCCACATCGGGGGAGCCTGACGAGCAGGATGGCCAGGTGCGTACGGTGAGGGCCAGGGCGTGGCAGGGGGCAGGGAGGTGAAGGTTGCTGTCGGAAGTGTCCTGTGCGGGAGTAGGACACCTGGCCACTGGCCCATGCTCCGCTCCTTCTCAGTGGTGTCACCTTGGGCATCACCTCCTACCCTGGCCCCACTGTCTCAGTAGCTACTGGGGTGGGGGTGGGGAGGGTCAGAAGAGGTGCTCAGCTCTGAGGCCTTGTGTAGCTCTCCTGTACCAGAATCCTGTGGCTTTGAGGGCAGTGAGGACATCCGTAGAAAATTCTGTAGGATCTGACGAGACTGTTTTGGAAGTGAGACTTCAGGGTGGGCTCACCTCTCTGGTGAGGTCCAGACACCACAAGTCCCAGGCACAGATGGGGGATTTCCAGAGGAGTGAACGTGCTACCCACCCCCGAGGACAGGGTCCATCTTGGGAGAGCATCCAGGACCTGTCCTTTACTAAAGAGCTGCCCAAGTACGCTCACTGATGAGGGCAGATGCTGTGGGACAGGGACCTCTGCCTGCCGAGGTGAGCTTGTTAGCAGCAACCCCATTCTCGCTGCCCTGGTGCCTCTAGATCACGTGCTGCAGAACAAGAGGGGAGACAGGGCTGAAGGTTAACTGGGTTTTTCTGGATCACCATGACATTCAGCAACTCTTCCCTAGCATGATTTTCTGGATAGAAAGTGGAAATACAGACCCGATGTAACTCAGCAACGAGGGCGCAGATAGTTTTAGCAGCCTGTGGTTTTTCCATCCTCATAATTAGCCACACTCTCCAGCAGATGCTTCGGGGACAGAGGTTCTTGGTACTAGAACAGACCTTCCACGTCATTTTACAGAGAAGAAAGTTGGAGCTGGGGAACATGAGTGACATGGGTCCTATCGTCAGCCAGCGGTGCACCCAAGCTTAAGGCCGGGCTATCTTGGACCCGTACACACAGCTCTCATGAGCCCAGTGTCCATTGTTATTTGAGCTGATGGCCATGTAATCACAGTCTGGATTCATATTTTTAGAGCCGATGCTTCTCCTCTGTAGGAATAAAAATGGTAGCGGGTACTTCAGCCCCACCACCCCACTAGTGACGAGGGCATCCCTTCCTCTCCCAGCACTTCCCGCCCCTCAGACCTTCCTCCCCCAAATGAACTGGATGTGTGTTCCTTTAAGAGCTCCCTTAAGCCCCAGAGTTGGGGCCATTCACCTCCTCAGGGAAGCCGATGCGCATGGCTGGGTGGCACCCCCTCCTCCTAGCAGGGGCCACAGGGCCCGGGAAACCAGGAAGGACTGTGGCTTTGGGTCCAGACCCAAGCAGAAGGAGCTGCATGGGGGCATTGGGAAGACTTCCCATGAAGTGGCTTCTAGACCCGAGGGCCTAGTCCTCCTGAGTGTGATCCCTTTTGCTCCCCTCCCCTGACCACCCTCTTTCCCCAAATCCTCCTGCACCCCCCACCCCCCGCGCTGGCTTGCAGGCTGACAATCCCTCGTTCCCCAACCCACGCCGGAGGCTGCGCCTTCAGGACCTGGCTGACCGAGTGGTGGACGCCTCTGAGGACGAGCATGAGCTCAACCAGCTACTCAACGAGGCCCTGCTTGAGCGAGAGTCCGCCCAGGTGTAAGTGGTTCCTCTGCACACACTCGTGGGCCCTGACTTGGGGGTTCAGGGAGTTGGCCATCTTGAGTGGAGCCCCTTCCTGATTGGCCAAGGCGGGTGTGACATTTGTGTTCCCTGGGGCTTGTTTCCACTGCAGAGTGAAGAAGAGAAACACCTTCCTCCTTTCCATGCGGTTCATGGACCCCGAGATGGAAACCCGCTACTCAGTGGAGAAGGAAAAGCAGAGCGGGGCTGCCTTCAGCTGCTCCTGCGTTGTCCTGCTCTGCACGGCGCTGGTCGAGATACTCATCGACCCCTGGTGAGGGAGGGCACGGCAGGAGCTGCTAGGCTAGGGGAGGGTGAAAGGTGATGAGCTTCCTAGGCCAGAGGCGTGAGCGATGTAGGGGCCTCCCGCTGGAGCATGACATCGGGGCAAAAGCCTGGTCTCTTCTTTGCCTCCGGTGGAACAGCCCAGCGGAATTCAGGCCCACGTGTTGCTAGGACCATGCCCTGGACCCTCTCCTTCCTATCTACCCTGGGATTCTAGAATAGCACTAGCGTCAAAACCAGGACTGAGAAAGCTGAAGGACAGAGAGGGGTCCAGGAGGATGGAGACCCTGGCTGCGTGGGCCTGAGCAGTTCTGGGACGAGGAGACAGAAGATGGGGGACACTCCTCAAGCTCGGTCACCAAGGCTGATCTGGCTTCCCTTTCCTGCTTCATCTTAGCCGATGGATTTTAGACTCTGGGTACAAACAGCTCTGTCACACAGCAGCAGGTCCTCCGGGGCAAGGGATGTTCTGGAGACCTTCCCCAGCTGTTGAGGCCCAAGCAAAGGACAGCTGCCGCGCCCCTCCCTCCCCGCAGCCCCTCGGCCACTCAGTCCTGCGCAGGGGTTCCCTGTCAAATGGGAGGCGGTGGGGGCCTGTTCCAGCTATAGTTAGGGGCACTGTAAAGAGCCCTGGACTTAGTTACAAGTTCTAGACACGCTTCTTGGCCGATTTGTTGTATGGCCATGTCCCTAAGGTTCTAGAAGCCAAAGACGATGATGATACCAACAACTTGAAGGTGATAATGTCTACCCTGCTAACCCCAGGATTGTTGGAAGGATCGAATGCATTCATTCACTGCAGATACTCACCAGTGCTCAGTGCCTGGCTCTGAGGCCTACGGATATACAGTGAAGACAACATACAAAGAGCCCGGCTCCCATGGAGCTTACATTCTAGCAGGGCAAGACAGAGGTCAACAACTGAATAATCAGAACATGCCTGCAGACAGCGGCAAATGGGTGGATAGAAGGGAAGAAGGGAGCCGGGAATGCTCTGCATTTGGTCTGCTCTGCGTTTGTGTCCAGCACGGGGCGGAGCAGGCCTCACCCACAGGGCACAGGGTGGGATTTGAGTAAAGACCCCGCGGGAGAGGAGAGGTGACCGAGAATCAGGCACCAGCTTAGCAACAGAGGTCGCTCCGGAACCAAATGGTGGGGGTTGTGTGAACGGGCAGGATTTGGAGACCCCGAGTTGCTCAGAGTTGCGAAGGTGGGTGAGGGAGGCCCTGTTCAACTGTGAAGCTCTGTGCAGTTGGGGCGGGGGGGTAGCCCTCCCAGCCCTCCCAGCCCTCGGCAGCAGGCGAGCCGCCCTGTCCCACGCTCCCCCTTCACAGCACAGTGCTCACTCCCAAGAACCCCCTGCGCCCCAGCAACAGCTACCGCTGGGGGCGGGGGGTGGCGCGCGTTCCCGGGCCCTGCACTCAGCTGGCAGCCGCCCGACTCGGCCTCTGGCTCGTCTATGCAGCAGGAGGCATGAGTCGGTGGCGTCCTGGGAATGTTTCAGGTGCAGGCCTAGAGGGCCTGCTCTTCTCCCTCCTCCTTGCCTCTCGTAGCCCCCTCCCCGATCTCACTGATCCCTCCGCCCCCCTCCCTGTCGTCTCCCCGTTACAGGCTGACGACGAACTACGTGACCTTTGTGGTCGGGGAGGTTCTGCTTCTGATCCTGACAATCTGCTCGCTGGCCGCCATCTTTCCCCGGGTAAGAGCCGCTTTTCCTTTTGGCTGCGAAGCCCTCCGGAAGCGGGAGCGGTATGGACGGAGTCAGGCGTCCCAAGGACTCGGTACAAGCAGACTGTCGTGTTAGGACGGTTCAGGCGTTTGTCCATCCATTCCTTCCTCATCACTCACGCACTCACGTCAGCTGAGCAAGCACGGTCCTATGCCAGAGCCCAGACAAACGCCTGGGAAACTGTAGAAAAGCAGTGGAGGCCCAGCTGGAAGGGGGTTGGCCCTGACCGTGAAGGACCGTGAAAGCCAGACAAAGAGACTGAGGGTTTCTCCCGTAAGAACTGGGGTGCTTTGCAGAGTTTCTGATCAGACTGAGAGGAGAAAAGCAGGTGGCTTGCCGGGTGACTTGGAGGATTTCGGCTATACTGACCCAGGGAAGACGGGAGCAGCTAGGCAAACGTGGCTGGCCCTGAAAATCGTTCCCTGACACGGCCTTGCTGCTGGACTTACGGGGTGGGCTGCCGCTGGCTGGCACTGCCCACAGCCTCCTGGCCTGGTCACTGTCTGCTCCAGAGAGGGCTCCAGTGGGGGCCCTGCTGTGTCACAGACCCCTCCAGAGGGACTGATACAGAGCGCCAGCCTCCTGTGCTGCCTTCTCAGCTCTGCCAGTTTTTGGTGGACTACAGTTTAGGTTCCTGGGAGGTAGGGGAGCAACCAGAATCATTAGCAGTCCTATTTATGGGAGAAAAGACTGTCAAAAGTTCACGGCCCCTGAAATTCCATTCCTTCTAGGCCTTTCCTAAGAAGCTCGTTGCCTTCTCGACTTGGATCGACCGGACCCGCTGGGCCAGGAACACCTGGGCCATGTTAGCCATCTTCATTCTGGTTATGGCAAACGTCGTGGACATGGTGAGCTCCTGCTGTGCCTGGTCAAGGGACGCCCCTCCCCTCACTCTCAGTGGAGAAAGGCTTCTGTATTGAGTATGAGCAGTTGGTCAACCAATCCTCCACCCCTAGACACAGGTTTAGAGTGGCACTTAGTTTCCTAAACAGATCACCTTGGCCAAATGGACAGGGTCTTCTACCCCAGAAACCTGAGACTGACCTGTTTGCCCCAGCTCCTTGCTCTCCCAGAGTCCAAGAGCCTGACACCATGCCCCAGGCCCCGTGCTGGATGTTGCCTCATTTAATCTTTCTAACAGTCCCAAGACGTTTGGTATCATTATCTACAGCGGCGAGGCTCAGGTTAATTCACTTGTTTTAGCTCACACTGTCAGTGACAGAATCAGGGATCGAGCTGTTCTAAATCCCAATCCTGTGAAGAAACTCCATATCTTACTGATCAAGGGGCACAATGCACATCTTAAGTATTCCCTACAGTGTGGCTAGTGTCATGTATCCAGGACCAGGGAGGGAAACCTGTTCTGCTAAAGGAGCTCTCTTGTTTGCCTTCATCCGTTTGAACGTTGCCAGACCTTCCTAGAGCCCAAATGGCTAGGAGCAGACAAATCATCTTCTCTGCTCTCAATTCATGGCGAAGCGGCAGGTCTCAAGGGAGCAGCCAGATGCTTTCTTGGGTTGGGGGGGACAGCAGTTAGAAACCCAGCTCCGTGGGGCGCCTGGGTGGCTCAGTTGGTTAAGCGACTGCCTTCGGCTCAGGTCATGATCCTGGAGTCCCTGGATCGAGTCCCGCATTGGGCTCCCTGCTCAGCAAGGAGCCTGCTTCTCCCTCTGACCCTCCCCCCTCTCATGCTCTCTCTCTATCTCATTCTCTCTCTCAAATAAACAAAATATTTAAAAAAAAAAAAAAAAAGAAAGAAAGAAACCCAGCTCCATGGATTCAGAACCACCAGTCAGTTACTGAGCCTTGGCAGCTTGGAGCTGCAATTGACATTCTCGTCAGTCCTCACAGTTCCCAACAATTTTGGCAGTACTGTATACATGCTCTTAAAAAGTCCTACTTTTTTCAAATAACAATTTAAGCACAGGGAAAAAAACTCACCATGGAGACTTATCCCTTGGGCCAGTTGATCCGAAGTCCAACTAGAAGTCAGGAGCTGCAGAACCTAATGTGCCCCTCGTCGCATGGTGCCCAAGCGCAGGGAAGAGAAGCCCGAGCCCCTAACCTGGCTGAGCACACCTGGAGCCTGGTGCCGGGTCTGGGGACCACTGTTTACCAGGGTCACGGACTCTATGCAGGACATCTCGAGATCCTGTCACCAGGGGAGGGGTGAAAGACCAGGGAGGTATGAAAACTTCTCACATGCTGAGAACTTCCCAGAGCCAGACGAGCACCTTCCACGAGTGGGTGGAAGTTACAGGAAGTAGGTTTGCTTCAGTTGATGGAGGCACTTGCCATTGACTTCCGTCTGCCCAGCGGCGGGAGGAGGCCCCAGAAACGGAAGTGTCTGAGCAGAGACTGGCTGCCAGGCCGCGAAGCCGTGACGGAGGCTCCCTGGCTGGCCCCACGGCCCCTCCTTAAGCAACACTGTGCCGTGGGCAAGAGCGTGTTGTATGTGAAACCTAAAAACTGTACTCCTCGCTCTGACTCTACCGCCTGCTGAGTGCGCTGCTCGGCACCAGGCCAGCCCCTTCGGCTCTGCTGTAAAGGTGGCAATCCTACAGACGCTCGAGAATTTTCATAAACATCAAATGAGATACAGTTCAGCGCTTAGTGGGCGTTACTAACGTTTGTATTCTGTTCCTTGGTCAGTTGTCCCCCATCTGTCAGTGTTCCCGAGGGAGCTGTGGGACGTGGTGGCCACGACCCAGCCGCCTCTGACCAGTGTCTGTTGTTCCCTTGCACCCCATGTCCTCCCTGCGCCCCTGTCCTGGCCTCCAGCTCAGCTGTCTCCAGTACTACGCAGGACCGAACAACAGCACCGCAGGGCTGGAGGCGGAGGATGGCTGCGTAGAGAACCCCAAGTATTACAACTACGTCGCCGTGCTGTCCCTCATTGCCACCATCATGCTGGTGCAGGTCAGCCACATGGTGAAGCTCACACTCATGCTGCTCGTCACCGGGGCTGTGGCCGTCATCAACATCTATGCCTGGCGCCCCATCTTTGATGAATACGACCGCAGACGTTTTCAGGAACATGAGTAAGATGAAGCCTACTTGGGGATCTGTATTGTCTCCTTCCTCCCACCCCCAAGTCCCCACTTCAAGGTCATGGGCCTGGGGCTCAACAAAGGACGGTATGGGAATCGGGGTTCGTGGCTTCTGACAGAGATGCCACTAGTTGGCTGTGATCCTGGGGTAGATCCTTTCCGTTCTTGATGAGTGGATGATCCGTGTTTGGCCACTGGGCGTCAGCCGCTTGTCCCCAGGTGGGGCCTGAGTCTGCGCCTCTGTCCTGCAGCTTTCCCGTGGTCGCCTTAGAGAAGATGCAGGGATTTTCCACCCCTGGGCTCAACGGCACTGGCAGGTGAGGGCAGCGGCTTTCCCCTTTCTGGTCCGCACTCTCTCTTCTGGAAACAAGAGAAGGCTGTGATCTCACCCCTTCAGAGGCACACGATGTGGGATATTCATTAGGGAAGTTAGTATGTGTTTCCACAGGAGGGCTGGAGCAGAGGTAGAATGACCTCGGTATGGACCCGGCCGTCGCGGCCCATCCGGGCTCAGAGTGAGCCAGGGGAGCAGCGGCAGTGTGGTTTAGGGGGTGGGACGGGGGCTGGGTTGAGGTGAGGAGAGCGGGAACCGGTGGGACAGACCGCAGAGAAATGAGGGAAGAGCCCTGCACCCGGCCCAGAGGATCTGGAAGATGAGGCTTTGCCCCCTGCTGCTGGGCTGTCTCTGGGGCTGCAGGCAGGCCAGTTTTTGAGTCTGTTTCATGTCTTGAAGAGGATATTGGACTAGAAGTTCTCCAAGGTCCTTTCTAGTTCTAAAGTTTTAGAATTTTGTGATTCAGTGACTTGATTAGACCTTCAAGTAAGTTAAAGGAAACAAAAAATAGATTACCTAACAGAATGAGGGCAGAAGAAATGAATAGGTCCTTCACAAAAGAAGAAATCTAAATGGCCACTAATAAATGAGAGGCATTCATGTAATCAAGGATGTGAAAACCAGGACCACAACAAAAGACCACTACACACCTACCAGTTTGGCAAGAATGAAGAAGTCTGGTAACATCAAGTACAACGGTAACTCACTCCTGATGGGTGTATAAATTGGTACAACCATTTTAGAAAACAATTTGGAGTTTTTTAGTAAAGTTGCAAATAGACCTAGGACCCAGCAATTCCACTGCGCCCTTACACTTTACAGAAATCTGTGCACACCTCTGCATCCCAGGATGTGTGTGTAGGATTGTCCATAGTCACGTTGTTCATCATAGCTACACATACACAAAAAACATCCAAAGCAGATGAAAACAACCCAAACCACATCAACAGCAAATGGGGACACAAGCTGTGATCTATTCATACAACAGACTACTGTATAGTAATGAAAACTGTAGCTCCATACAAAAATGTGAAGTTATTAAAAAAAGAATCATAAATGGTGCCATCGTCCCATCACTGCAACGCTAGTCTCTCTCCAGAGGCTTCCGTGGTCACACCTACAGTGTTTATGAAACATCTGGGGCGCCCTCAGGTGGATTCCAGGAGGGGCCAGGGCTGGGCTGCCTATTAGGAGCCCAGTGGTTTAAGAAAGATTCACCTGTGGGAGTCCGGACTTGATGTGAAGGTGCTTAACGAGCTGGGAGGAGTTTCTGGCCCAGGGTGACAGGAAAGGCCCAGCCCCGTTGGAGGGAATCAAACTCCTCTTTGCCCCGCAGGCTGCCCCTGGTGCCTTCTAAGTACTCCATGACCATGATGATCTTTGTCATGATGCTGAGCTTCTACTACTTCTCACGCCACGTGAGTGCCTGCACACCCTCCCCTCCCCCTTGCATACAAGCCAGTGGGGCCTCCTGAGAAAGCAGTCTCAGGGTCCAAGAACGCAGGCTCCTCGGGAATGCTGGCTTCCCTTACCCAGCCCAGCACGTGGCCCTGGCTGAGCCACCGTCCTTCCGTTTTCTGGTTCCCTCCCTCGCCGTACAAGAACCGTCCTTGCCCTCTTCTCCTGATCGCCTCCGGCACGCTGCAGCAGCATACAGAGCAGGCTAAAAGCTTGGAGAACATGTTTCCTAGGCCAGGGGCCCCTGGATTTTCACCCACCCTGGCTCTGGGAGTTACTCACACACTCACCATGGAGCCAGGAGAGAAAGGGAAAGAAGCTGATGAAGTTTTGTTTGGTTCCAAGGAAGAGGTAAAAGAAGCAAGCAGAGAGAGAGGGCGGGGAACTAGCTCCCCGTGAGCCCAAGTGCCCCCCAGTGGTTTGCCAGGGAAAGTACAGCCTTCCCTAGCCCGATGGAGCCTGCCGGAAGTGGGGACTTCACCCTAGGCTGGGAGATCCCCACGGCTGCCATCCGCCTCCAAGACAGACCCGTAGCTAGAATGAGGTCCCAGAATTAGGGGAGCCTCCCACGTACCCAGAAGGCTCTCGGCGCTCTGCAGAACCACGGCGAGGCCGGGAACCCCACTGTAGCTGCAGGGTGGCCTTTTTCAGTCGGTGGGTCTCTTTGCATCGTCTTTCCCTTGCTATTTAGTGGTCTTCCTGCCAGTGTTTCCCCGTGGAACCCCTCCAAGTTCTGTTCTTCGTCTTTCCTTCACATGGCCGGCTAAAGCACACACCTTGCCTGTGTCCGTCCACAGGTGGAAAAACTGGCAAGGACACTGTTCTTGTGGAAGATCGAGGTCCACGACCAGAAGGAACGTGTCTACGAGATGCGGCGCTGGAATGAGGCCTTGGTCACTAACATGTTGCCTGAGCACGTGGCACGCCATTTCCTGGGGTCCAAGAAGAGAGATGAGGTGAGGGGTGGCCTCACACAGTAGCCGGCAGCCACGAGGCTGTGTGTCTTCATCCGGCTTGCTTTCGCCAGCCCGTCTGGGCCCAAGGCCTCCTCAGGAGCGGGCACTGGTCCGGGCAGGGCTGCACGCAAGCGGCGACTGTAACATGTCACAGGCTTCTGGTAAAGGGCACCGCTTAGATGTTTTCTGTGGGCCACACATCCCCGGAAGTCCCCAACCTCTGTCAGCTGTGATCTCCTCACACAGAAGGGTTCTCAAGGGTTCCCTCACACTTCCACCGTTTCTCAAAGCCGGGGCTGTTACAGGGCCCAGAGAAACTTTACTTGTTCGAAGTTGCGATGAGCCACTTCCTTATAATGCAAAGTTGGGATGTCCATCCAAAAAGCTAAGGACACCGATCATGGGTGCGGAAGACAGAGTCGTTTCTGGGGCACGCCATTCCAGCAGCGTTTCTTTGAGCACTCTGGCCCTGCCTCTTCTTAGGAGCTGTACAGCCAGTCTTACGATGAGATTGGAGTCATGTTTGCCTCCCTGCCCAACTTCGCCGACTTCTACACGGAGGAGAGCATCAATAATGGTGGCATTGAGTGTCTGCGCTTCCTCAATGAGATCATCTCAGATTTTGATTCTGTGAGTGCCCATCCTGCCCCTCTCCTGCCCCAAAGCCAGCTCTTTCCAGATTCTACCTCAGGACGGGCTGCAGGGGTCAGAGAAATGGTAGTTACCCTTGCTGCTCTGTTTTCCCGTATGAGCTTCTCCCGGTAACACGGGGGCTTCTGCTGCCTGGGGGCTCTGAGTGGGAAAGACAGGAGCCCGGGAAGCTGCCTACAAGATCACAGCATAAGGACTGGCCCAAACAAGATCCTGAGGCACTGGATTCCTCCTACCCTCAAAATCAGATTCAGTAAATATTTATTAGGTAACTTGTATCACCAAGGAAAATACTTTTACGTATACGCTCAAGCACCCCAGGGGCCTGGCGGTTTTGTCCCATGTTAAGGTCATAGAAGCAGAGGCTCCATCAGCAAGTCTGCCTACATGATGTGACAGATAAGTGGCAGAATTGATAGTTTTTAGGAAAGCATCTCTTGGATGTCTTGTGGGGTTGTTGTAAACAGGCACATCTGTCACTTAGTTGGCTCATTTCTCTCCCTGGACTCTGCTGACCTTTCTCTCTCCTTTGATACTGGCCTCAGCTCCTGGACAATCCCAAATTCCGGGTCATCACCAAGATCAAAACCATTGGCAGTACCTATATGGCAGCTTCAGGAGTCACCCCAGATGTCAACACCAACGGCTTTGCCAGCTCCAACAAGGTAGCTGCCCACCCCATGGCTGGAGGAGATGGGGCCCTGCCTCCTGGGGCAAGAGCGCGGCCGTCCACACCTAGCGTGTGAGACAAGGAGTCACAAGGGTAGCTGATGCTAGTGAGCACCGCTGGGTCAGCGGGTCACACACACACCACCGGCACCATGTGATGCTAATTTAAAATCGTATTTACTGGCCAAGTTTAACAAGCAGAGAAAGAATAGCCTACACAACCCCCCCACTGGTGCACAGCTTAGGCCAGACGTAACTGCTCTAATCATGGCCATGCTCCCTTCATGCTCTAGACTTTTGAAAGAACTGGGGAGTGGCGACCATCCGAGCAATTACGTAACAATGAGAACATCCAGGTTGGGAGTAGTTCTGATAGGAAAGGGGTCTTCGGAGCTCACTGGCTGGCATCAGCCTGTTGTTTGTTATATCAGACCTGTGGAGCTAGCTGTTTATGAGAGGAAATGAGCTGTGGGCGCCCTGGTCCTAACAGCTGTTCTTAGACTGTTCTCATCCTATTTTATCTTACAACTGTCCTATATAACTACTACTACCATCTCCCTTTTATGGATGAGGCTAAAGAAATGTGTCTAAGATGGGTCATGACCTCCAAGGGCTTATAATCTAGTTAAGGAATGCAAATGAGAACTATCCCAAATTCAGAGCGCAGGTTCAGGCGCGGGGATGATGGCAGACAGGAAGCGATGTAGCTGGCCGGGACCGCTCTTCCCCACCTGCGGGCCCTAAGGGATGCAGGGGAGCGGTCAGTGACAAGCCGAGGTCGAGGTCACGGACTCGTCTGTGGGAAGTGGAGAATAAGGCCTCGGACGACGCGGTGCAGGAATTCACCTGCAGAACGCCGTGACGGGGAGCGAGGGGCCCGTACAGGCTCCTGACGCCCTCGCCGCTGCTCCCCGGCCCAGGAGGAGAAGTCAGACAAGGAGCGCTGGCAGCACCTGGCCGATCTGGCCGACTTTGCCCTGGCCATGAAGGATACGCTCACAAACATCAACAACCAGTCCTTCAACAACTTCATGCTGCGCATCGGTAAGAGTTCTCGGGCCTGGGTGCTCCTTGCCGCTCCCTGATGCGAGGGACTCGGCACATCAGCAGGAAGGGCGAGACTTAGCCCTGGAGGCATTTAGGGTGGGGAGGGTCACACAGGCACGGCTCTGGGACCTTAGGGATCTCTTCCCGGTGATCGGACGGCACATCTGGTGAAATGAGGGCCAGCTGTGTGTGTCCCACACCGTTCACCGCGATTAGCCTGACTTCTGAGTGTGGCCGCGAAGGCAGGCTGTCCACCTCCCCAGGCGGTCTTGCACGCCTGCGGAGAGCTTTGCTGCCTCGGTCCAGCCTGTTAATGTCCCCTGCTGTCCCCACTGTGAGGGGGTGGAGGTGGGATTCTCACTTCTGGAGGAGCTCACCTGAAGTACCAGATAGGTGTTGAAGCTGGCAACTTCCATACTGCATGAATTAGTTAGCGTACTGGCCAGGACAGGATAAACAGGAGACGTATCTGCCCTCTGGTGGCTTCAAGACAAGCTTCATGAGGAATATGTTAGCGGACTTAGGAGCTTTGTGGTTGGGGTCAGGTGGTGAATTCTCTGGGGGAGGGGCTGGTGGCTTCTGAGATGGGATAGTGAAGGGGATAAAATATGGCTCGTGGCTGTGCTCAATTTTATGTCCCTCCACCAGGCATGAACAAAGGAGGGGTCCTGGCTGGGGTCATTGGAGCCCGGAAACCACACTATGACATCTGGGGCAATACGGTCAATGTGGCCAGCAGGATGGAGTCCACAGGGGTCATGGGCAACATTCAGGTATGTCCAGCAGCAGAGCAGAGCGTGAGCTCAGGCCCGGGGGCCGGGAACAAAATCGGATGAGGGCGTGTTGCCGTGCCCTTCTGCCGCCTTTCTGTCAGCCCGGAGTGTCGAGGGGGTGGTTCTGGGAGACTGCAGGCAGGGGTGGCAAGAGCTGCCCCAGTGGAAGGGAGGAAATACTTCACTCCCCTTTCCGAAATTTAGGCTTAACTTCTTGGTAAGACTATCCTGCCTTTTGGTATGAACTTTCTGATCTCGTGCCTCCAACAATCCCCCCTGGAGTCTCCCCAAGCCGGGCCAGCTGGGTCTGGCAGGAAAGCGCCACAAAGCGGGGAGAGGGGACAAAGGAAGAGGGAGTGATGCTGCCGCAGGCAACCTGAGGCCATCCTCCAGGGACAGCAAGCACTGTGGCGAGCGCTCCGGCTGTGCCCGCTGGTGCGCAGATGGGGCCGGCTCTCTGGGACCTGCTGCCCCGCTCGGAGCTCACGCGATGTTCCCCCTCTACAGGTGGTGGAAGAAACACAAGCCATCCTCCGAGAGTACGGCTTCCGCTTTGTGAGGCGAGGGCCCATCTTTGTGAAAGGGAAGGGGGAACTGCTAACCTTTTTCCTGAAGGGGCGTGAGAAGCCAGCTGCCTTCCCTAACGGCTCCTCGGTCACCCTGCCCCACCAGGTGGTGGACAACTCCTGAATGGCCTCCAGCCCCACCACAGTCCAAATGGGAAGGGAGAACCCATTTTTTGGAATCAAAGAAAGGCCTTGGGAAAGGACACATGACCAAGTCCCAGCATTCCCAAATTGAAGTGCACACTCACATAGACTTTAGGTTTAAAAATCTCCTCAAGTCTTCATTTGTTCATGGATACGTGAGCTCTGAGGGCGGCCATACTATTCCTCAGTGTGCCTGTAGCTTCCTCAGAGAGTAGGGGTCTTAGGTGTAGTACTGGAACAATCCTTCCAGGGCTCTGGGTCTGACCAGCCCTCCTTCCCCCAGAGAGGCCATGGCCACTGTGAGCAGGAAATGTGTCCAAGGTGGAACAAAGCTGCCTTTGCTTCTGGGCTGGGAGCACAGATGGGAGAGCTGGGCTTCAGACGAGGACTCGGCAGGACTTGACAGCTGAGCAGGCGAGTGTTCTGCTCCCCAGCGCTCACCTGGAAGCAGTCTTTCAAGCTGGAGACCTGCTCGTCTCCATGTGGTCCGGGTTAGGTGAACTGGCCCTCATGCTGATGTTCCTGATAATCTTGAAAGGTTCTTCTGGAACCCCTGCCACCTTAGTCATGAGAGCAGAAAGTGCAATATTTCCTTTTACCTGGTGGGAGGGAGGGAAAGGGAATTTATTTCTGAGAGAAAAATATATAAACAGATCTTCTACATTTATATTTTTAACTTTCTGTTAAACCACTTTCCAATATTGCCTTGCCTCTTGAGCTCTTGCTACAGTCGCCTTTGCTGCTGCTTTAAAAGAGAATTTACAGGTACTGATAAAGAACAAGACTGTTTTATTAAAAGCTTTATTCAACTTGAATGTGCTCATTGTGAAACTTCGGTTCGGTACTCTGCTAACTCACACCACGCATCCTTACCACGTGCCTGCAAGGCAAGGGCCTGAACTAAGACGTCTGATTATTCTCAAGCTTTCTTCTAAATGGTGGTACAAGTGGACTCTATCTGTCCCCTGGGTGCCCACACACGTAGGTTGGGTCATCCAGTCCAGGAAGTGACTGAGTTAGGGCCTGGATGCAGCTCTGGGCCCAGGGCAGGAAGGACTCCTATTTGTGACTGGGCAAAGCAGGGACAGGCACTGAGATAGCTGGACCCACCAGACACAGGCTTTCACATCTGGGCACCATCTCTATAACAGAACGCTGTCAGCAAGGCTGAGACCAGGGTTATAATATAAGGAGAAATGACCCACTACTAAGACCAGGAGATGGGGGGAGACAGCTGCGGAACTGTGGCTGAGGGCCTGCAGCAGTGAGATGAGGGGGGATCTGCTGCCCTTTACAACCACTGAGTTTGAGTAGACTTCTGATCATGCTTTTTTATAGCTGACTTAATACATTCAACTCTCTACAAACATGTTTAGAAAACAAAGTATTAGCTACATAGAGCCTGATTATCCACAGTACTTACACTGTATTCTTTATAACATACTGCTTCAAACTAAAGATCAAACACACTTTCCTTAACCGTGTTATTCCTGTCATATCAGGAACCTGGAGTGTTCTAAGAACTTTCTTTTCAAAAGTCTCAGGAAAATGAGGCAGAATTACTTAAAGCTTTCATAAAAATCAGGAATACTCTTTCGTTAAAAGGTACATACTCCCTCTTTCACAAAATGCCTTCTGCCCCATCATCCGTCTGATTTTCAGCTAAAACATATCAAATCAATACCTCAACTGTCCAGACTTGCCCCTTACCACCCTGATGAGGTATGTGACCGTTCTCACTGCAAGGACGGGCCCCAGGCAAGGGGTCTGAGCCTTTCAACAGTATTCAGTTGCCAGGACCTAGCCTGGGACTGTGCATAGAATTATTTTACTCACTTCTGACGTATTCCCAATGAAAATATTCTAGGAGACCAGGCTCATATCCAACTTTTCTCCTTTTCTTGCAAATGAAGTAAACACTTGATGTAGGGGCTTTGAAAAAAACAGATTTTCATGGGATGCTCGCTGTTCTTCCCAGGCAGGGGATAATGCATCCATTCCTAAAACAGATTATATCAATCTCATTTAGTGCAACTGGGGGAATCAGAACCCAGATCACTGATGTTCTGGACCCATGTAACCTGTCTTTTTTTTTTTTTCTGGTCTGGAGCTGAGACTGCCCTTTACTGGACCAGTGAAATTTCAAGACCCGAACACACTCTGCCCAGAAGTCTAAAACCTACGGTGTGAAATCTGTGGCAGCTTCAAAACTTCCACCTCCTAAAAATATTTGATCCTATTTTTCATTATTGCCCATGTCACATTACTATGGTACATTTAACTAAAACAATAACACGATCTCTCTCAGCCAGTCCTAAAAAACTCCCGTATACAGAAGAGGCTCTAGAGAGCTAAGTGTATAGTTATTTGTATAATTGGCTTCTTACTGAAATGAGTCTTTTGCCTCTCTTCACTACAAGTGACCCTACGACTCAGCCTCATTAGCTGTCTCTCCTCAAGAGGGGTCTCCAATGACAACAAATCATCGACTGAAGGAACACTGGCAGAGTCAGATGGAGCAAAGGAGGTGGGAACTAGGGTAATTATGTTTACTACTTACAAAGAGGAGAGGAAAAATGGTAGAAGGAAAATATTCTTTGTATTTTACTGAGTAAATTTCTAGTAGATTAACAGAAGAATGGGTCTCCGGAGGTCCCACTGATACAGTCTACCTATTTTACCCTGTCTCATTCAACCTGAATCACACAGAGCACATTATCATTTCTCCGTCAAGGCACCCGTCCTCACCCTGGTACGTAACGGTGACGTCAGTTGGCAGGGCTGTCGTGAGGTCCTTATACAGCAGCCTGGCACAAAATGGGAACGACTGGCCCCGTGGCTCCACTTTGTAAGTAAACGACAGCAAGTTGCACAGTGAGTTTCTCCGCAAGGGCCCAGCCAGAAAGGCTGCAAAGTCACTCTGAGGAGGGTGGGGATCAAAACAGACACCAAATATATGATGATTACAGTTCCAAAGGCAGCGAGTGGTTGTGACACTTCAAACACATCTACAAAAACAGGGCCTGTGAATCAAATTTCAGAGAAATAAAGGGCAGAGAAAAGCCTGTAAAAAGGACTAATGATAAAGATTTATAAGATTATAACTAAGAGTTGGCGGCATCCTAGAAAGGCCTGCGGAAAGCACTAAATAAATGGCCGGGGCATGAGGGAGATGCACTGTCTTGGTAGAGCTGGCTAAGATGCTTTGTGTCTGCACTCTCGTGTCAGTCTAACTGACAACCAAGAGCTTCAGAGGTGTTCTAAACGCATGGGGGCGGGGCGGGGGGGAACAGGACACCAAGCTTATAAAAGTCACATATTCCTTACCTGCATTCATTTCCCGTCTACTTAAAAAGATTTGTTTTAGCCCAACCCTAGCTCCATTGCAACCCCAAAAAGGTAGGCCAGAGTTTAGACAGATAGATCGTATTCCCCTATGTATTCTTCTGCTTTGCTTCTATACCTAAGGTTTAGCAAGGCACTTGGCACGCAGTAGGTACTCTATAAATCCCTGTGAATTAAAAGCATAGAAACTACACAAGCATACATTGGAGACGCTGTGGGTTCAGTTCCAGACCACTGCAACAGAGTCAAATGAATTTTTTGGTTTCCCAGGACAGTTATGTTACGCTACACTGCAGTCTATTAAGTATGCGATAACATTACGTCTAAAAAACTAATGTACATGTTTTAATTTAAAAATACTTTATTGCTAAAAAAATATTTTGCTAAAAAATGCTAACCATCATTTGAACTTTTAGTGAGTCGTAATCAATAATCAGATCACAATAACAAATAATGAAAAATTGGTAATATTCCAAGAATTACCAAAATGTGACACAGAGACACAAAGTGAGCAAATACTGTTGGAAAAATGGCACTGAAAGGCTTGCTTAACACAGAGTTGCCACAAACCTTCAATCTGTAGAAAAAAACACAGTATCTGCGAAGCACAATAAAGTACAATAAAATGAGATGTGACTGTACTACTTTGTGAAGGGAAGAAAGGGTCAAGTATAAAAACCTGAGGACCACCATCAAGGAGTAAATAATCCCTTAACCAGTATCCATGCTTCAACAGCATCCAGAGTTTCAACAGGGGAAGAAGGTGGAAAATAGCTTGGATATAAATAAGAAACATGCATCAGAAGGATAATGGTCAAACTTCTGGCTCAGAAGTAGAAAACATTTTAAAATACAAAAGAAAACTTGCCTGCCCACCCCCCCTTTTCCCTTTTTAAGCCTATTCTGGGCTCATAAAATATGCTATATAAGATCCCAGACAGAGGCGCCTGGGTGGCTCAGGCAGTAAAGCGTCTGCCTTCGGCTCAGGTCTTGATCCCAGCGTCCTGGGATCGAGCCCCACATCGGGCTCCCTGCTCGGCGGGAAGTCTGCTTCTCCCTCTGCCGGTCCCCCTACTTGTGTTTTCTGTCAAATAAATAAATAAAATCTATAAAAAAAAAAAAAAATCCCAGACAAAATACCTGAAGTCGATCTGCCTGGTACTTCCTCCCAGCATAAGCGTTTAGGTATTCACAAAGACAGAACAGGAAGTGCTGAATATTAGTCTGTAAGTGTTTTACAGATATCTCCTCTAGGGGAATGAAGACTGGAATTGAATGGTGATGTATCCGAAGTGGCTTTTGTATGACAAGGTCGATAAAATAGGAATCCAGCAGATTTCCTTCAAAAGCAGTGCTGATGCAGACACAGACCCCTCGGCTGGTCAGTTTCCCACTGAGCCCTGAAGCAAACAAGATGAAACCTCTCAACACACGTCAGCAAAGGGAGTATGTTCTTCAGCTGCATATGCCATTCGCTTCAGCACTGCCTCGTACATACAGTATGTGTTCAAACGTGTGTTGAAGGAACATCATAGACTCTTCTCACTCACTCTGGCTCACTCTGAATTTGAGTTGTTAAAACCATAGAAGATGGTTGGTGGAAAAATAAAACATCCTAATCCCAAATTATCGAAGAAGAGATTTTGAAATTTTCATTTTACCTCTTACTTTCCTCTGAGTGTCAACTAATGTACAATAGTCCATTTCCTTCCACAATCCTCTATGCCACAGATAATGGGCAGGATAAATCCCTTTTAATGGGGAAACAGAGACTTAATGGGTGCAAACTATTTGACCAGTGGCATCAAGCCAGCCAGTAGCAAAGGCAGTTCTAGTACAATTTCTGAAACACACTGAATAGCTAAAATGAATAATCTAAGCTGGCCACCAATCAATCTTCTGCAAAAGGAGGCCAATTTTGTAGGTCAAGATGCCTACAAATAGTATGCCAGCTCTGTGTGTGTATGCTGAGGAAGGCAAAAACCCATGCTCATGAAATAAGTCCAGGACTAATAATATATCTAGCAAACCAACTCACTAGAGACAAGAGACTCAGACTGGAACAGGTCAGAAAATAAATTATACCTGTAAAACGATATGCCTGCAGAATGGCTTTCACATTTTCCTTTCTTCTTTCCGCAACTTCTTGCTCACTGATTTCCAGTGTTTGGTCAGGTTCTACATTGACAGTAGATGCTTTAACCTATAAAATAATGTAAGTCATTATCACTCAAACACCAATCAATATGTATCACTACATTAATCAAAGAAGAAAAGCCAGATGACCACCTTAATTTATGCAGTAAAAACATTTAGTAAAATTCAATACCTGATCACAATTAAAACTCTAGCAAACTAGACACAGAAGAGTATTTCCTTAATCTGCTAAGAGTATCTATACAAAATTTAGAGCAAACAGGTTGACCCTAAGACTATTTCTACTCAACAATATACTGAAGATCTCAGCTAA